ATTGTATTTTGCATCATGATAATCTATAAAGCCTTAATATAATAAGAGCATAAAAAGTCACACAATGGTTGCAAACAGACAGAACATGATGTCAGTACGACATGTTAAACATATTTGAAGGTTATCCAATTAAAAAACTGTTACCATTATCAGATGTTGAGTAACATATTTACAACAGTGGGCCAGACAAAATTAAATTAATCAGCAAATTAGGAAAAGGTTAATCTTTCACTTAAGTCCTGACATCAGTGTAAGGCCTCTCTCCCTCTGCTGCTCTTACATTCCTTCTGTCTGCTTGGCCAGGTTTCCTCTTGGTGAAGATCGGTGCAGAATAAGCCAATGACTGACTTGCAGCATTTGTTTGCAGAGTGACGGCAGCTGTATCATGAAATAAAAACAAAGATTAAAGATAAAAGATGCTGTTTGGTAATTTACACAAATCACTAATGCAACTCCTGTTAAGTTAGATTTTGCAAAATAGCCGACTGTTTGATGGACTGATGTATGAGAAGCTTTAATTACCATTGCAATGATAACAAGTTTTCTTCTTGATGGTATAAATCAGGAAGGCAATAACAGTCAGACTTAAAGCCAAAGCCGCAATTAACAGAAACAGAAGTGTGTTGGCCTTCTGCAGATCCCACATGTTGAGCTCTGAAATAACATCAGGAGCAAATAATGAAAGTTAAAAACTTTTTGGACAAGATGTTACAATATAATGGAAACTAAACTTTTGTAATACATTATTTTAATCTCTTCTACTGGATTCAAAATGAATAATTATTAAAGATTAATATGGAAATATTCTGCACTTACCTTCAAGTTTTGCTCCATTTCCAAATAATATCTCTCCACATGTGGCCACAGCACAGTAATAAGTCCCGGCATCAGAGGAGCTGACGTCCTTAGAGAAGCTGTAGATACATTTCTGTGGAGAGTGAGCTTCAGGACTCTTCTCACATCCATCACTACTGTTTACTTGGGCATAAATGAAACTGGGATGAGATTCATCTGATGCGGCTCTGAACCAATAAACTCTGTGTTCTTCTGGACATGTTTTCTTCTCAGAGTCAGAGAGGACTGAACACTGCAGAGTCACTGAGTCTCCTGGACGGACTGGATCAGATGGAAAGTCTTGAGTGACGGCAGTGATATCAGGTTCAGGTCCTGGGAAATGTAAAGATAAAATGACATGTTTTACTCACTTTAATAAAATTAAAAGTAATGAAAATTTTAAATTCATATGCTTAAAACCTTTTCTATACATTATGGAGACATAATTTGAATCATAATGAGTTATGGAAACACATATACATGTAGAAAAATCTATATATGTAAACTGATGGTAAATATGTTGGATTAAAGCATGGTTATTTTTTGTCAAGTAATTTAAAATGTCGATTTACCTTTAACTCTCAGAAGTGTTGATTTGGAAAATGTCATGTCCAGTAGATTTACTTTTAAACAGTAGTAAAGTCCAGTATCACTCAGCTTTGTCTCATGAATATGCAGAATAAATGATCCAGGCTCTTGTTTTGCTGTAATGTGAGGAGTCTTGTTAACACCTTCATAATCAAAGGCATATGTTCCTCCCAAGAATTCAGGTTGTTTTCCAGAAACAAGCCTGATCCAAAAGAGGGTATCATCGTACTCAGATGTCTGGCGAGTACAATTCAAAGTCACATTATCTCCAACTTCAACAGTTGTCATTTCAAAGACGCGATCGTCTGTGCATCCTGAACATAAAATTAAATGGAGCAGTGATTAACAACAGAGAAAGAAAAATGTACACACTGTACTAAATTACTGTAAGAACATAATATTTTAAATGTATATCTGGAGTAAATCTGACTTCTGTGAATATACTTACGTCCCACTCTGAGCATCAGCAGCAAATAAAATATGATCACCATTTTCATGTTAATCCCCTTGTAGCTGCAGCTAAATTAGAGCGTATTAGAAGATGACTCGCCTTAATGTAATCATGGAAAGTGGGAGGGAACATTTCAGAGCAATCTGATTGGCCTCTCGTTATGTCAGCATCTCACTGTATCACCACAGTGGAAATAAAATCAACCATCTTTCCAACCTGAAACAACACAACAGCACACTTTTGTTTCATGTTTCAGGGTGGGTTTCTATAACTGACACTGAAAGTAAACACAAGGTAAAGCTGGGGGGGCACTTTTCTGGAGAGGGCAATAAAAAAAAAAGGTAGAATTTGAAAATACCTCTCCTCCTGCAGCTGTCATCTCTGTCCCACCAGACAAGTACGTGCATATGCAGGTGCTTCAGACTGTAACACATTGTTTCCCATACAATGACCTATTTAATCTTCATTGTAACGCTCTCTCTTTCTGTTTCTCAGATCACTGATGAGACAAGAATTAGCTATCCCACCTCCTCCTTGCTCCTGGTACTGCTGTGGACTGCTTCGCCAGGGGTAGAGGGGGTAGTGGCTCTGGGGACAGACGGACAGACAGAGTCTGGAAGTCAGGGCCGTCTGGGCCCTCTGCACTAGCTGAGTTTGAGTTGCTGTAGTCGGGCTCACAGGATGTAGACTGCTGGTATGAGCCTGCCTTTAACCTCCTAGCTCAGATGGAACTGTCTTCCTCTTCTTTCTGCATGTCACGGTTTTCAAAATCGGCATACTTACATGATACTAGATTCGCATAGCCAGAGCTATCTCCACACATTGTGCTATGTGTGAAACTGCAAAAACAACCTCCAAGCTACAGTAGCAACAAAATCTGGCAGTTGGGCAGTGACTCGTGGCGTCAGAAACCAACGAAATACGCTGTCCTTTAATGTCCGCATGATATGTAGTCGGTTGCTGTTATAGTTTAACAGTGCCCTTTGTGTCAGGGGGAAATGTAGCCGGACAAGGACAAAAGTTAAGGTGGCAAAAGTCCAACTGGGCAGGGTTGGAGAGGTGGTGGATGGGTCCATCAAATACGAGAGAGCGGTGTTCGAGTCCCGTAAGATTCTAAAGCCAAACCCTGTTCTTTTTTTCTAAACCCAGTCATGTGTTTTTGTTGCCTAAATCCAACCATGTGCATTTGTTGTTGAAAGAAAAAAAAGTTGTACTGTCTTTGTGTGTCTATTTTGAAAGAGTCTGTATGTAAATGTTAAATTTCCTGTGACAATGGAAGTGTATCTTGGAAGAAGACAATGCATGTAACAGGCAGAACTTGACACGCTGTGCCAGACTGTATAACCAACGCACCCAGGGTACCTTGCATGTCGTATGTGGACATGGAAAGTCCATGACCAAACGTCAATGTGTGACGTTTTAGTTGTCCTGTTTTAGTTTTCTTGGTCCAGACCTTTGAATCTGCCTACGTCACTGAGTCAACTAGCCAATCAGCACCATGGGCAGGACTAATGCCATTGTCAAGTTGTTGTAATGCCCTTTTCCTGAAGCACTGAGGAGTAATAACATAACATGATGACCGCTATAGTTAAGACAGACGCTGCAATCGAGGCTGTTCTAAATCGACGTCCTTGTTGCCCAACATTGTTGTTAGTTTTTACTTCGCTTCGCTCCACTCTTAAAACTCCAGCACAATCAGTATGTTGGCATGGCTACGCATCAGTTGACATTTGAGTACTGTTTGGTCTCAAGTGATTATTTAGGAAAAATCTAATCCCCCATGGAAATCTGTTAGAGTGGCGACAACGTCAGACTGAGGATGGAAACAGAGGTATCCGTCAAATCTGGCAGTGAAAGTCAAATAATTCATCAAACAGAAGATTTATAATACACTTTTTTTTCAAATGGATAAATATTCATTACTAAAAATGACACTGTTAACACAAGCCTCCAAATAAATATATCCCATGTAATTCATCATTAAATATTTAAACCTATGTCTTTAGGAGCCATCTTGAATACTGAGCAAGCCAACCAACTGAGATGCTCCACATCATCAGTGATGACCCGCCCACTCTGCCTGTCAGTCACATCAGCAGGAAGAGCACAGCGTACAGAGGAGGGCTGTTAAACCATCCATCCTCTATACTCACTTCACTTCTTTTCAGAGAGCTGCTGACAGACAGCAGCAGAGCGACACTCTCACAGTATCACAGGAACATTCACCTGGAGCTGATTTAGAGTTTCTGACCTACATGTTTTTATCTGAGGGAGAGAAGCCATGTGACCCTGGGAGAAAACCACTAATGAGATACACCAGTGATTAACAAGGTGATTAACATGTGTAAAACAAACCATAATGTATGGTTGACACCGTCACTATGACAGTAACAGGAACACCTGACAATATAATGCAGTCCAACACCACAAACTCTGGAATCAAAATAATGATTAAACAGAGTTCAGGTTTCCCGCCAACTTGAAAGGTGCAAGGAGAATAAAAATAGATATACAGTCAACCCATCTATCTATAGGACCAAAACTCATCACATTCGTCAGACCAGCAGGTTTTGGTTTGTGCTTTTCATCACGGTCAACATATTGTTGACAACGAGCCAAAACACCCTTTGCACACACAGACAAACACACGCTCACAGTTACGATAAACAAATGCTGCATGGAAACTTCAGCATCGTTGTGGTCGGGCTTCAAACTAAGGTGTCAGTACAAAGAGGCTGTTCTACCTTTCTCACTCTGTGTTTCAGCCTCAGGACGCTGGGCTTTACTGCTGCTGTCAAAAGGAAAGTTGAACAACACTATATAACTGTTATGTTTATTTTTAATATCACAAGAACTCACAAAGGTGGGTGAAGGGTTCAGGAGGGTTGGACACACACCATGACCCAGTTGCACTTACTCTCAGTTGTTTGGTGCTTGTCATTGGTGGTAGCTGTCAGAGGGAGGAGGTGCTAATCACTCACTGGTCCCACCCTGGTCTTTCTGTCAGGAGCAGGAGTTTGAACTGTGATCTGTAGTTTGCCTGATTATCTGCAGACAGGTTTGACAGCCTTGCTAACGTCACTTGGTGCAGTTATGGACCGGCAGCCTGTTCAGATTAATGTTGAATCAATCAATAAATCTACATTAAAATTAAAACAAAACATAAACTAATGTGCATCTGTGAAATTGTAAGATTGCAGTTGTTGACACCTTTGTTTGCATATTTAAAACCACAGGACTGATAGATATTTGTACTGTGAATGAGCACATTAACAAGGTGAAAAGTTAGCCTGCTGAAGCCTCTTGTATCTCTCCTCTCACTACACATCCTGTTGAAGCCCATCGTCAGGTCTGTTCTGAGTAAACAGCCTTGATGGTTGGTCAAAGGGAGGAGAAACAGCCCACCACAGCCTGTGTCTGTCAGTGTAGCTGTTGCATGTGGCTTTGCTTGACATGCAGAGGGTCTTTACAAAGTGCTGTGAGACCAGAGAGATGGAGGGGTTCATTGATTTCAGTAGTTATGCCCTTACAGGTTTTTTAATACAGTGTTTGTTCTTAACAAAGGAAGACTACTTGTGTCCACAAAACAAAATGCTCTGTATGTGTTTTTAATGATGCTTCTGTCTACAGTTGTGGGAAGTTGTGATGGACAGATACACAGTGGTTCACTATCAAGTCTGTGTGGTTTTGGCCACATTTCTTCTCACCTTTCCCCTGCAACTGTCCCCTCAAACCTGGATACTAACACCTACACTGCAGCTACAGATATTTCAAAGTCAAAGTCCTCTTCATCTCTAATCAGTGTTATAACAATAATAATACATTTTATTTAAAAGGCGCCTTTCAAAAGGGCAGAGAGTACAGTCAGTGTGAAAGTCTGTAAGCCAGCTTGAACAGGTGGGTTTGAGATGGGATCTGAAGGATGTTGTGCTGTTAGAGTGTTGGATGTGTGGATGTAGGGAGTTCCAGAGCCTGGGGTAGTGCAACTGAAAGCCCTGACACCCATGGTGCTGAGGCGTGAAGTGGGGATGGTCAGGAGACCAGCAGAGGAAGAGTGGAGGGAGCAGGAGGGAGTGTACTCCTGGAGGAGGTCAGAGAGGTAAAAGGGGGCTCAGTTGTGGAGGGCTTTAAAGGTGATGAGAAGGGTTTTGTCGTCAATTCAGTACTGAACAGGGAGCCAGTGTAGTTGGATGAGAATGAGGGTGATGTGGTCGGATGATTTGGTGCGGGTAATGATCCGGGCAGCAGAGATTTGAATGATTTGAAGCCTGTTCATGAGTTTGGTGGGGAGGCCAGAGAGAACTGTGTTACAGTGGTTAATACAGGATGTAACAAATGTGTGGACCAAGACTTCAGAGGTGGACTGGGACAGTGCCGTCTGACTTCAACAGTGTTGTATGGCTGATGCAAATAAAACAACACAACCTCCAGGACCAGGATGAGTTTAGCCCTCCAAAAGGTGATTATGGTCTTGTTCAGAGTAACACCTGTGTGTGAAACTTTAATCAACTTCAACTTTACTATAACAACAAAACATCAGGCCTAGCTGTTGATGGTCAGTAAATATTGAAGCTTTATCGTATAAGAATGTTGCTTGAAAAGAAGTTTCCATTAAACAGACGTAACATGTTGCCAGAAAACTACACATAGTATACTGTAGCTTTCAAAGTTCTCGTAGTTAGAAACTTGATAAACGCTCATTCTTGTTATTATTTAAACACTGGATGAATTTCAATAGTTGTGTCAAGTCTTTGGAAAATCTCCAGAAGATCCACCACTTGTTGTATACATGATAACACCAGCAGGGAAACACAGCATGTTTTATTTATTGACAGTGTAAAAGAGTTCCAAATTATGTTACCACAAAGTTTACATGGTCACACTAGAAAAACAAGGACAGGATTAACATCATGTGGTCTCTGTCTGATGATGCAATAAACTTACGGTCAAATATCCACCAATCCAGTGGTCATATGTATCCATGTACTTTTTCTGAAGTTCTGTACTCGGGTGGTGACGGTTTGAGGTACTTGTACGTGAGCATTTTTTGCTACTTTATACTTGTACTCCACTACAGTTCAGAAGAAAATAGTATAAGCTACTTTTTACTCCACTACATTTGTCTGACATCATTAGTTACTAGTTACTTTGCAGACTCTGATTATTTATACAAAATATAAATCACTAAAAATGATGATGTATTTTTACAGATTCAGCTACCCAGCAGTATATGAAGTAGGGGTGGGAATCACCAGAGGACCCACGATACGATATCATCATGATACTTAGGTCACAATATGATATTATTGTGATATGATGAGTATTGCGGTGAAATATATTGTGATATATTGCGATTTATTACCTTTTTTCCAACTGCAAATTATTTCCCCAAAGGAAAACTTTGTCAGCATCAGTTTTACCTCATAAGATAAAGTTTTCAGTCTGTTCATCTGACTTTAATCATTTTTATTGCAGCAAAATGTGATGCGCAGCAGACAGGATGACCAACACCATCATAAAACCTGTCAGAAATGCTGCATACAACTGACAAACTCAACTGTTGGCAGATTAAACGTCCTCTGTGAGGCCAGATTTAGCGCAAGTGTGAAATACTTTACATGCAGGTATCTTGCTAACTGAATGGCAACACCCATGTTAGAAGACTTGCCTGTTACAACCACATCTGGTTCTGAAATGGACCATTCTGTAAAATGAGTACTTTTACTTTTGGTACTTTAAGTATGGTAGGTATGTAGGTATGTAAGTACAAGACACTACAAACACAATAAAAACAAGAGCAGTAACATAATAAGAGCAAAAGAACAAATATAATATACCTCCATACATGTCAAATAAATATGAACACAGTCCTGCTCCTTAGACATCACTGCTGTAAAACATGACTGAGGCTCATCTGAGACACAGACTGTGCCTTTAACACATCAAACATAATGTTTAGGTTTAGGGTGCAAATGAAACTAAACAGTTCCTCATAACTAATGGTAAAAAACAGATTTCAGCAATGTTGACAGAAACTGGGTTTCAGAATTAAGAATAACAGCTGATAGATTTCTACCTGAAAAACGTGATTACTTACTTTTAATAGTATTCTTGGGGTATTCTTATGCATTTATCACAGACAATAATTAGATTACAGGAAATGAGGGAAAGAGGGATCCAACGCCCCAACCCAGACTTATACTGGGTTCACCCCTGAACTGGATTCTGGAATGTGCACATTTGCATAAAAAAACAAAACAAAAACACAATCAATCTCATTACTTTTGAATATATGGACGAAACTTAATCATAACATTAAAACAATGTACAGTAGAGCAGAACTACCTAATAGCCAAAAACTGTGAAACAACCCTTTAGCTCCAGATTAACATCAACTTCAACACACAGTAGGCCCGTTTCCACTGAAGAAGTTCCTGGTACTATTTGAGGAGCAGGAACTACTACAGGAACGTCCTCTCGTTCGGCCCTCTCAACCGCCGTGTCTCCACTGAGAGAGCGGAGTACGAGGAAGGTTCCTGTAAAGTTACGGGCTGCCTCTGGATGTGACGTAATCGTTGCGCGACCATTTTGACCGGGGCGACATAGGGATGCCGTTAGCCGATGGCAGTGTCTGTAATAACTCACTAAATGGCCCGTGAAAAAAATATTTTTTCCAGCGGATGTCTTAGTTACAACATGATTGAGCTAACTGGAGTAGTTTCATGTCGTATCCGACAACGGGAGGCTTTTAACAGATGACGTCCTGATGTTAGCTTTGCTACTAGTGTTAGCTGACCCTGTCAGCTGCAGCCACTGGTGCTTTCTAGACATCGTGATTTCCCAAAACTGAATAAATACCACACATAGCAACACAAAACTGCTTTGCTAGCTCAATCACGTTGTAACTAAGATATGCGCTGGAAAGAAAAAAATTTTCACGGGCCATTTAGTGAGTTTTTTTTACATGGCGGCGAAAGCTATATGAACGAGCTAACCCTCGTCTGCTGAGTTTTAAAAATGCCAGCTATTTTGTTGCTTTCTGTTCACGTCACATCCCTCCTTGAGTATATCCAATCAGCACCAAGTAATACCCAAGCCCCAGCCAGTAGTCTTTCGGGCCATTCTGAGTACCTACCCCGAGGCAGGGACTTGTTTAGCCCCCGTAAAAGTTCCAGGGAACTCTGTCCCTCGGGGGTGGTTCCTGCGGTGGAGACATGCACCAACGGTCCTGGCCCCATAAAATTACCCCGAAGTTCCTGCAGTGGAAACGGGCCTAGTACCAGCTGATGGCAAACACACCTGTGACCTCACTAATCCAACCCAAAAGCCTTGACAGCAGCGTAGATCCTCTGTCTCTCTGCTGCTCTTGAATCCTTTATTGCACCACTGCCAGTTTTCATCACGGTGAAGACGACAGCAGAATAAACCGGTGTGTCCTCATCTCTCTGAGGAAATACATGACATGACAAAGTTAGAAATGACATCACAAAACTGTTTCATTTAGGTTAATTCTATTATACCTATTAATTTCTTTACCTGTTGACTTTTCCGACCACCACTGTTTCTCTGCATGGCAACAGCAGCTGAAATTATGAATAAATAAATTAGCAATAAATACAGATTCAGCAGTTTTAATGTAATACTGCTCGCTAGAAAAGTATAAATGACTTCTATTACCACTGTAACAATCATTCTCTTTCTTCTTCATGGCGTAGGTGAGGACAGCTACAACAATCAGACTTATAGCCAACACAGCCAACAGAAGAAAAATAACTGCAACTGCATCCTGTGAGCACGTACTGGTTCCTGAAACATCAAGAGGGAAAAAAACGTTAAAGGTAAATGATGTTTAATGTCACCTCCTGGTTAAATGACTGCATGAAAAAACAGCAATAGCTGATCTTAAAGGATTTGATTTGACTTGCAATGGCCTTGTGTTTGCAACACTTGTAACACAATAAACACACATTTTGTAACTGACAGAATAATGACACAGTTACCTTGAATGTCCAGTTTTGCTCCATTTCCAAATAATATCTCTCCACATGTGGCCACAGCACAGTAATAAGTCGCGGCATCAGAGGAGCTGACGTCCTTAGAGAAGCTGTAGATACATTTCTGAAGAGAGTGAGCTTCAGGACTCTTCTCACATCCATCACTACTGTTTCCTTGGGTATAAATGACACTGGGATGAGATTCATCTGATGCGGCTCTGAACCAATAAACTCTGTGTTCTTCTGGACATGTTTTCTTCTCAGAGTCAGAGAGGACTGAACACTGCAGAGTCACTGAGTCTCTTGGACGGACTGGATCAGATGGAAAGTCTTGAGTGACGGCAGTGATATCAGGCCCTGGGAATGAAAAATGTAAAGATAAAATGACGTTTTACTCACTTTAATAAAATCAAAAGTAATGAAATTTCAAATTTATATGCTTAAAACCTTTTCTACACATTATGGAGACATAATTTGACTTATGAGTTATGGAAACACATATACATGTAGAAAAATCTAATTATGTAAACTGATTTTAAACATGTTGGATTAAAGCATGGTTATTTTTTGTCAAGTAATTTAAAATGTCTATTTACCTTTAACTCTCAGAAGTGCTGATTTGGAAAATGTCATGTCCAGTAGATTTACTTTTAAACAGTAGTAAAGTCCAGTATCACTCAGTTTTGTCTCATGAATATGCAGAATAAATGATCCAGGCTCTTGTTTTGCTGTAATGTGAGGAGTCTTGTTAACACCTTCATAATCAAAGGCATATGTTCCTCCCAAGAATTCAGGTGTTTTTCCAGAAACAAGCCTGATCCAAAACAAGGTTTCCCTCAAGTCAGATGTCTGGCGAGTACAATTCAAAGTCACATCATCTCCAACTTCAACAGTTGTCGTTTCAAAGACGTGATCGTCTGTGCATCCTGAACATAAAATTAAATGGAGCAGTGATTAACAACAGAGAAAGAAAAATGTACACACTGTACTAAATTACTGTAAGAACATAATATTTTAAATGTATATCTGGAGTAAATCTGACTTCTGTAAATATACTTACGTCCCACTCTGAGCATCAGCAGCAAATAAAATATGATCACCATTTTCATGTTAATCCACTTGTAGCTGCAGCTAAATTAGAGCGTATTAGAAGATGACTCGCCTTAATGTAATCATGGAAAGTAGGAGGGAACATTTCAGAGCAATCTGATTGGCCTCTCGTTATGTTGGTATCTCACTGTATCACCACAGTGGAAATAAAATCAACCATCTTTCCAACCTGAAACAACACAACAGCACACTTTTGTTTCATGTTTCAGGGTGGGTTTCTATAACTGACACTGAGAGTAAACACAAGGTAAAGCTGGGGGGGCACTTTTCTGGAGAGGGCAATAAAAAAAAGGTAGAATTTGAAAATACCTCTCCTCCTGCAGCTCTCATCTCTGTCCCACCAGACAAGTACATGCATATGCAGGTGCTTCATACTGTAACCCATTGTTTCCCATACACTGACCTATTTTTTTTGTAAAGATATTTTTATTGACAAAATTGCTATTTTACCATTTTACATGACAGAAAGTGCAAACAGAGAAACAATACAAAACACAGAATACCCCCACCCCAGTATGGTAGAAATGTATCTCTAGTTCTCACTTCAAAGGTGAAAAGTATAAAAAATAAAATTTATTAAAAGATTAGGTATTTGTCTAATAGACTGTGAGGTCCTACAAGGATGCAATGATGGTAGCAAGGTGAGGAAAGGGCCCCATATTTCATCGTATGTTACCAGTTTCCTCCTCACACTATAGAGGATCTTTTCGGGTGTGCTATAGGAAGTTAGTTCATTTAACCATTGTTTCTGTGAGGGGGGAAGTTCAGCTTCCCAGCTTTGTAGGATACACTTTTTTGCAGCTGTGCCCGCGAGTAATATGAAGTATTTTTTATTGTGATCCATGTTAAGAATCTGAATGTCTCCCAAGATCAAGACCCTAGGGTCAGATTCTATTTCGGTTTTTACGACATCTATAATCATTCTGATGATATATTTCCAAAATTCCTTCAGAGAGGAGCATACACTGATCTTTTTAATCTTATTTCATTCTCTCTGTTTCTCAGACCACAGGTGAGACAAGAATTAGCTACCACACCTCCTCCTCGCTCCCTGCAGCTGTGGACTGCTTCGCCAGGGGTAGAGGGGGCAGTGGCTCCAGGAACAGAC